TTGCCTGAACCGGCAACGATCCACATGTGCCACATGACTGGCATTAATACCACACATGTCACAATAGTACCAGCAACAATCAAAGTGTATCGTGGATCTGTAAATAGGGGTTTTTAATAGCGGAAGGAAGGTCTGGCAAGTGTCAAAAACGGTTAGCGCGATGAGTTTATGGTTAGCGCCGGTGAGCTGTTGCTAAAGACACAGTCAACGTCGATTGTATGGGCGGAGACAGCCAACCGTCATGACCTAACCGTTGGGCAACATAATGATCGACTGTCCCGACCAGCGGTAGCCGGCTCTTACAGTCTTATACGCTGGGCATGTCAGGAGTGTGGATCTGGCGCAACGCCAGCCTGTTCGCCTGCCTCATTGTGTGGTGTAGAACGAGCTGGCACCGCACTAAGCCCAGCCCCCCCCACGCCCCAGCATTCACAGCGAACATAACTTGACTTGTGAAGGCACGGTTGCCGCTTACCGTATGGATCGGCACACAGTCGACCATTATGCTGCGCCAGCGCTTGGGTCATGACGGTTGGCTGTCTCCGCCCATATGATCAGCGGAAACAGTGTCTTTAACTACAACTTGCCCACATGTTGACTGTGAACTCTTCGCTGGCCGTTCTTTACATTTGGTCAGATCTGAACAGCTCCCTAAATATTTAAGCGCGTCCAGTTGAGCACAATTTGGGATTTCCATGCATGATATCCCAAATATGCTTCACGAATGTCAATGTCGTATTTGACCCGGTCAGTACAACATACATTTTCGATACTTCTCTAGCATTGGAAGTAGGGCCAAGTATACGGATGCATCGTTCAGTGTGGGATAAGATGAGAAAACCGCTACGAGAAGCAAACTAATCACCAGATGAAGATGAGCATCTTTTCTGAAAAGAACATAATCTAGGGGTAGCATTTTCAAGTAAAGCTTTTCAAGAACTCACCTTAAACTCAGCAAAAGTGGAACTACATATACCAACAAATTAATTTGGAATACCATTAAATAGAACGCTCGGAAATGCTCAAACACCTGGGTGAAGAAGTACCAGACCAGACCGACGTTTGGGGTCAAATCGTCCACACGTAAGCTGAAATAGTACAGACGTTCTTGGTGGTACCACGAAACTAGCTCATGGTCCCAATATGTGACACGTGGGCGAGCGGCGGCGAAGCGTTTGAGAGAGGTCACCACGCGACATGCGACGTCGCGCAACTTCGGACATGTGACATAGGTGGCGATCAATTCAAGCGTTATCCCTTTCGTTCTCTTCCACACTATATCGTACGCATGCTATTTTGCCCCTTCTTAGTCTCCACCACTTTCCGGCTTAGTGAAGCCCTGAAACGATTGCCTCAAACGCCACCGCATGCGAAGATGAGCGCGACGTTGCGTGCTGACCCCTGGACCTCGCGTCCAGTACCCAAGATGAATATTCTATAAGAATGGCAAACTCACATGAAACCGTAGGTGTCTTCAATAAAGTTCCAATTCATATTGTTTGAAAGCCAATTGAGAGCAACCAATGTGGCGAAACCAATAGATAAACCAGCAACAGTGAGAAGGCGCTCTTGTAAGGAAGGAAATCGTAGTAAAATAGACGCCACGATGATGACGGGATAAACGGAGAGACTTGTAGAAACAGAAAGGAGAACCACGCACGGAAGAATAAGACCTAAAAGTCGCTTTACAAAAATAAACACACACGAAAATATAAATGAACTAGGACAGTTTGAACATGCACTTCACATGTCTTTCCAGACAGTGGTGTCCGCAATACATGGAAATCGAGCACGCGGTCGCGAAGCGGTCAGCTCAGCGTCAGATGCACACAATGGTGGAAAACGCCAAGGTGAGCTGCTTTGACATCTTGCGATCGATTTTCATGTATTAGGACTAGACCAGAATGGCGCTGTTCGGCTGTGGTGGGAGCAGGCGGGGGAAGGAGGGGCATTTTGCACTTTCGCTAGTTTCTAACTCATGTTGACCAACAGGTCTGCTTTGGTGGAACCTGTAAACTCTTGTGAAGCTGGGAAATGATACAAGTGAGTCACTTTAATCACAGGAGTTTACAGGTATGCGCAAGGTGGCCTGTACAAGCTTCGTTAGTACCCCATCAGGCCGAACTGCGTCCTTGAATGTTTTTCATTGCGCCTCTGCCATTTGAGGAGAGTGAACTAACGAGGACCTATCATGAAATTAATGATTTACCTGAGCAGAAGAAATAGACGATACCAGCTGTAATAAAGTTGTGCAGTACTGAGATGCTTAGCACGGCTGAGCAGGCGATGGTGATAGGATTCAGAAAGTAGCTGAAAATCCATCTAATCAAATATGAAATTTATTTATAGCAACCAGTAATTGATTTCTCTATGGTAATTTACTCCCCCTATTTTCGCTAGCATAGGAAAGGTATGGATAAAATGAAATACGTCCCTTCCAATTTCTTAATGTGGCTTGCCCCTCCCCTTTCCCATCCTAACTACAACAATTTTACTGACTTTCCCCAACTGCTCCTACTGCTCTTTCCGAAACTCTCCAGCAGAGCGGAGGGAGGGGGTACATAGCACGTGTGAATCGGACCCTTCTCATCTTCTGCGGGTGTTTCCCCAGTGTACAATGTACCCTGACTGGAACTCACGACAGAAGTGCTTATTTCGCATAATAATTCTGAGTCCGCCCCCCCCCCCACCGGTCACAGCGGAACGTCCCTCTGATATTTGAGGGATTAATTGAGGTGCGATTCAACCTAAAAGGCTCATCACTGCCAAAATACAAGTACAAAAACTCTGTAGAAAAAAAAACTTCCACGAATCCTTCTCCACTAACCATTTGAACACAGTCCTGAAAATGTGCTCGGGATCGGCACTTTCACCATCTTCAGCATATTTCCGGGCACTGATGGATAGCAAAATGGCTGTCACACAGTCGAATAGCACATACACGGCGAACACTGAAGATTCGCTGAGATCGGCAAGTGAAAACAGACGTAAAACCAGTGGCTGCTGAAAGTACATTGTCAGTAATCTCTATCCTTAAAGGCAGTTAGCACAATGATTTGGTGCTCGGCCTAAAATGCTGTTAGGACGCAATATGAATGGCGAAAGAACGGAGTGAAACGGTCAAAATCCTGCGAAGAAAGAGCCTCCGTTCTCAATGTGTTAAAATCAATTTTGGACGAGTTTCCCGTAGGCATCTTGCCAATAACCGCTACCGAAGGTACGGCTGCATATGTGTACCCATATATCCATGCAGCATCACGGCCGCTTCATACCAATCCCTTCGCTTCATAATTTGCTTAGCAAATGAATCGATTAGAGCGTCAGGAACGGTCGTCCATTTGTGGGCGGGCGGGCGTTTGGGTCGGTGTGTTGGCTTGATAGGGCCCTTATAAGGGCACCTCCCTTGGAAAAGGCATTATGCAGCGCCTGCTCAGGGTCGCGGAATTCCGTCCTGCCAGGCGTATTAATCCTACTCGTCTTGGGGGATTTATCGTGCCAACTGCCCTTGAGCAATGTCAAGCCTTCTACTCCTTTATTTTGTAGCGTATGAAAGTACTTTGCTTTGGGGAAGAATAACCAAGCAACCATACTGAAACGCAGGTGTCAATTAGATCTTTTAGAAACATCAAGACTTTTTGAAGCACCCCACTCCCTGGCGTAGGCGCACCTCAGTCTTGAACGCCGTGGATTTTTCACGCAAGACTGCATTTTTTTTCATGAACATAGAGGAGAGGAAGGGTGGACGGGTACACCCTGAATTAACGTTTTGCCTGACAAAAGTGCAGATTCCCAGTTTTTGCACCTTTTTAGTGGACTGAAAAAGTAGAAAATGGATTGGCACTGACGTCTTGCACGTGGAAAAAAACTGCACCTTCTAATCACTTAATTTTCGAATCTTTACCCAGAACACCTTTCGAAATGGCGTCAGAATGTTGAATCGAAGGTGGCGTGGTGCTCCTCATAGGGAAAGTTGTTTGAAAACAGGCTGTTTGCTTGCCCACAAGGTAGTCCCGCGCCGTGGTCCACGGGAGACGGGCAAGAAAATCGTAAATTGCCACTACGTCGCGCGGCAAAAGGCGCGACGTTTCCTCAGTTTGCACTACCCATTGAATTGAAGCATTGGATTTCATATAGACAAGTACATGGTGGGGACTTGTGTCTACTTCTGGTCATACATAGTCTATTTTCGACCAATACCACCTAAAATCGTCATTAGCGGGCGCGACGTCGCACGCGACACCCACTGGCGCGGCGAATTACGATTCTCTTGCCGCATACCCGGGTCCGCAGCTGTGGAAGATCAGACGTAGCAAATCTTTAGTTGGTAATTACTTAATGGATTCTGCAGAACAAGTAATTGTTGGGGGTAGTGTCAAAATTTGTTTACTCTTCCCTGATTACTTTTCCAAAACACTTGCTTCTCCTAGGTAAAGAAGACAAATTTTACCCCCATATGGTCGTCGAAGAAAATTATTGTCATCCCGTCAGCCCTTGTCAAGGCTGCTCGAACTATTTATCTTCCCCAAAGCTTATATAACCTATTGACCGCACCTCGACTGTAGCTCATTTTCCTTCTCCCCGTCCATATGTCTGCTCCCATCTACCAAAACACCAAGGTGCGTAAGAAAAGATCAGAATAGGCAGAAAGGTTCCCCTGGCCCACGTTGCCGATGGATTCACCTCAACCAATACACGACCACGACCTACTTTTTGCAATTTAATTTTGATTAAAAATGGGTCCTGAGCCGAATAAACACAAGATGAGCATTTGATATTTACTTAACCTGAATCTCGCTGCAAGTGGACCACAGACCGCTGTCGAAGTCAAGGGTTTTTGGATTTTTTGCTTGGAGTGCCCTAAATGGGAGATGGACCATATTGTAAAGTGAGTGCAGCCTCAGAAACAGGCCCGTCGCTCGTCGATTATCCTCAACAGGGCCGCATTTGGTTGCTGGAGGGACGGGGAGTTGTACTTGTCCTTATCAAAGTTTTTTTCTGATTCGATTCTTCACCTTTCACGCGCGTTTCGCCGCCCATCCAAAAGCATATCTATGAAAATTTTCGGTAAGATGATCGTTCATTTGTGGAAGGAGCCAGTATGGGAAGAATCTGGGGAGACGGAGCGGGAGGGAGGTAGTGGCTGAAATAATCTCGTGCCCAACGACTCGGATTGATGGCCTTGTTTTCCAAGACACAAGACTGCCTCATTTTAAAGACATCTATCTTTTTTTGTGTTTTCTCCCGATGCAATGAAGGTG